AGCTACCAAAGGTAACCAACATATAACCATCTTCCTGGCTTCGTTGGCCTTTGGGTATATGCGAATTAATCTCGGTAAAGCCTGGATTTTTTACTTTTCCGAATGATACGATGGTTTTGGGATCGATATGATCATTGAGAAATAATAAGCGATTCAGCTGACATCTATATCCTCTTCGGATATGGCAAGACGCTAGTCGTCAATTTGCTCTCCTTGTGGAGCCTGCCTATTTTGGTGTTCTCTATCAAATTCATATCTCGAGTTCTCGACCGAGAAGGATCACTGGCGATTGTGCTTTTGATACTTGTGTTGCTTGTTGGCCGGAGCTCCTTGGAGTCATTGCCGGATCCGTCCCTTCATTGGTCGGCGAGGGTAAGGTTTCTCCTCTCTTAAATCCGGCAACATCTTTGATTCCGTCCATCATTAATTGAGTTTTTGGATTCCGCAGTTCTCAAAGCTGACTGATTAATCTATCGGTTTCGGTTACCTTTTATGCTCAAATGGAATCTTATTACTTTATGGTTTTGGGACAGATTAGAGTCTTAATTTCCTTTTGTCTCTAACTAAATTTATTGGTAATCATTCCTTTGCTAGTTGTGTAACTTGCCAATTGCCATTACTCTCTTATTATTTGCAGTAACTGCCCCGAATAAGGTAGTTTTTTTTCTCTCTCTTTTGAATTATATATTATATACATAAATTGTGATTAATTGTGTTAATTTTTTTTTTGCGTGAACAGGAGGCCGAGGCCAAGAAGGGAGAAAGGTTACACGAGGAGAGGAGGAGAAGGGGAAGGAGGACGGACAACCACCCTACGGGTAGTGGTCACACCTCTACAGTCATCCTGAAGAATTGGGCCAACACCCACCGGCGGATTCGCTAACTCATACCTACCGTAGGGATAGAGGAGACTGTGCTTCGAGAGCCAGTCCGCAACTCTATTCCCTTCCCTGTAGATATGAGTAATGCGAACCAACCAGTCCTGACCAAGCTTCCTACGGATCGCGGAGAGGATAGTAGCATAAGGGTGAATCAGGTCATCTCTCGAGTTGATCAACTGAATAGCTAACTGGGAATCCGTCTCCACCTGCAGAGTCCTGCACCCATTGTTCCACGCCAAATCGAGCCCGTACATGATAGCCCAAAGCTCAGAGAGGACCGCTGTAGCGCTGCCAATGTTAGCGACAAAGCCAGCCACCCAGTGCCCCAACAAGTCGCGAATAACTGCACCAGCCCCGGCCGGGCCCGGATTACCATTAGACGCCCCATCGGTTTTGAGGGTGGTCCAACCCTCCGGCGGGGGGCTCCAACCGACTTCCGCCTCCACTCTCGCAGCCAGATGATTACTGCTGGCGGGGAGGAGAGTGGGAGCGAGCCACGCCTCGTGCCACATCTGGGTCTTCGCCATGATGGAATGCTCCGGGGAAGGAGGAGAAAGGGAGGCCCCAGCTCCTATGAGGCAAAAAGGCATCGGTTCCAGATTAGCCAAACCGCTGTGCTGAAGAACGCCGCCCACAGCATCCCGGAATCCATAGTGACGGAGCACAAGATATTGTTTCTGAGCCATTGGTCCTGCCCGAGACTGAAGAAAGCCTGCTGCTGCGCCGCTGGAACATGCCGGGACCAGAAGAAGCTCGCCGCCGGGCAATCCCTGGCCATGTGCAGGATCGACTCACTCACCCCCTGACATTTCTGACAGAAAGGGTTTGCCGCTATCTTTCTTTGACAAAGCAGGGAGTTTGTAGCTATTTTGCCAAGACAGACGAGCCAAGTGAAGCTATGCACCCTTTCCGGGACCGGGAGCCTCCATATCGCCTTCCAAAGCCTCTCATCCGGGTCTTGAGGGTGCTGGTTGAGGAGACTGTAGGCAGTCTTAGTGGAAAACCTCCCATCCGAAGAGGCCGTCCAGAAAAGAGTGTCCTCATCCGGAGCTAGAGTATCTACGGCAGCGCTCAGAATCTTCTGGTAAACATCAACCGACAACAGATCCTCAAACAACTCCGTACACCAGCTCCCGTCCTCCGTCACGAGGTCCGCAACCGTGGCTTGCTCCAAGTCCCCCGGAATTTGGTCCAACGCCACCTCCTTGAGAGCTCCTTGCAAAACCCACGGATCCAACCAAAATTTAGTAGACTTCCCATTCTTAATGTTCCAAGCACTGCCTTTCCTCAAAAGATGAGCAACTTTGGTAAAGCTGTGCCATGTAAAGGAGCTTCCCTGAGATGGGCTAAGGATCTCCAGGTTTTCTCTTTGACGGCCGTACTTGGAACGCATGATCTGGGCCCAGAGAGTCTCTTTCTCCTTGATAAGGCGCCACCCCCCTTTGGCCAGCATAGACAATTTAGAGAGACGTGTAGGCCGGATCACCACTCCTCCCTGACATTTAGGCATCGTCATTTTCTCCCATGCCACCAGATGCATTCTCGACTTGTTCTCCTCTTCGGCCCACACAAAGTCCCTGTTCAATTTATCAATACTGTGGCAAACACCAACCGGAATTAGCTCGGTATTCATATTATAAACATGAATGGAGGACGAAACCGATTTCACCACAGTAAGGCGCGCCGCGAAAGACAGGCGCTTTGCCTTCCATGGAGCCAACTTCTTCTGGATGCGAAGCAACAGGGGTTGATATCTCTCCTTGGTCACTCTTCCATGGATCACAGGAATTCCCAGGTACTTCCCCAAGGACGCCTTGAGAGGAATCCCAGTCTGCTGGCTCAGGTGGTTAGCTTTCCGCCTATTGATGTTTGGGGAAACATACAAGATGGACTTGTGGTAGTTTACTCTTTGGCCGGAGCTAAAACAGAACTCATCCAAGCAATCCTTGCCTAGTCTCAGCCTCTGCAAACAAAAGAAGGTCGTCTGCAAAAAAGAGATGAGTGGGAGGCGGGCCATTCTATGATAGTCTAAGAGCTTTCCATCTGCCATTAGCAACAATTTCATCAATCAAATGAGATAATCGTTCCATGCAAAGGACAAAGAGATAAGGAGAAAGAGGATCTCCCTGGCGGACACCCCTTGAAGGGGAGATAGGTTGAGAGAGCTGGCCGTTCCACGGAATGCATATCATGTTCTGCTCAACACAATGCATGATGCCGCTTATCCACGAGCTGGGGAGTCCCACCTCCTTAAGAGTGTCTCTAAGGAAATCTCATCTCAGTCTGTCATAGGCTTTCTCAAGGTCAACCTTAAAAACAATCCCTCCCTTCCTGCCTTTCTTCTTGTGCAGCGAGTGAAGGACCTCTTGAACCACTATGATGTTGTCAGTTGTCTGTCTTCCCGGGATGAAACTGCTTTGGCGCGGGGATATGAGCTTCCTCATGAGCGGTTTCAACCTACTGGTTAGATCCTTGGTGATCACCTTTAAGCTGACATTGTTAAGGGAGATCGGTCTGAGCTGGCTCACAAACTCCGGTCTCTCCACTTTGGGTATCAGAACCAAAGTGGACTCTGTCACCGCTTCCGGCAGGACTCCTGTCGAAAAGAAGTTAACCGCCATATCAGAGAGGCTCTTGCCCACGATCTTCCACAGCTGCTGATAGAAAACTGCCTGGAACCCGTCCGGACCCGGGGCTTGGAAGGGTTTCATGTCAAACAAAGCTTTATGGATGTCTTGAATATTGAAGGGCCGAAGCATCACCATTAGCTCTGTCTGACTGATACGGGGAAAAGAGTTCTTAGGCATCCGGTCTTCGTACTCGGTATCATCCTGCAAACAGAGGTTAGCAAAAAATCCAAAAACTAAAGCAGCTAGCTCCTGGGGGTCGGTTACCCAAGCTCCATTCGCATCCTGCAGAGCCTCGATTTTATTGCGTCTCCTTCTTATATTAACCTGCTGGTGGAAGTATGAAGTGTTGCGCTCCCCGAACTTGACCCAACTCTCTCTAGCTCTTTGAAACCAGAGAAACTCTTCTTGTTCCATAACCTTGTCAAGCTCCTTCTCCAACTTTGAGTGAAGTTTAGCCAGGCCCGGCGAGAAAGACAAAGCCTGCCGAGCTTCGATTCCCTGTAGGCGAGATAAAAGTCTCCGCTTTTTCTGCTGAACATTTCCAAAGACACTCTTGTTCCACTCTTGAAGTTTGCCTGCAAGCAAAGAGAGGGCATTATGAAGAGGCACACTCTGATCCCATGATTCTGTAACGAAATTCTGCATATTAGAGTGGGAGAACCAAGCCGCCTCGAATTTGAAAGGACGGGGGATAGCAGGGGAACTTCCCTGACTGGTGACCGAAGTTAGGATGGGACTGTGATCTGACTGAAGCCGAGGGAGATGGACTACAGACGTATTGGGGAAAGAGGTGTTCCAATGCAGGTTCAGAGACTTCTATCCACACGGCTGGCTTTGTAAGAGTTGTCCTGCTCGTCTCTCGTCCAGGTGTACTTGGGACCGGAGAAACCCAGATCGACGAGTTCAGCCAGGTGGATGCTGTCATTGAAAAGTCGACAACGGCGATTGGTATGGCTAGAATAAGGGCTAGACTTCTCATCGGGAGACCTAATTGCATTGAAATCCCCTAACAAGATCCAAGGAATATCGATCCTCTTGCTCTGCTCGATCAAACACTCCCACAGGCCTTTTTGCAGACCGCTACGAGGGGAGGCGTATACTGCCGTCAGAATCCAAGGAGCGCCACCACCACTCGAGATTTGCAGTGAAATTTGCTGGCTACAAGCAGAAACAATGTTAGCCGAAAACAACCCAGCATCCCAAAAGATCCAAATCCCACCCTTGCGACCATCCGCTTCCACCCTGATCGAATTAGGATACCCCAGCTTATCACAAACTGAATTGGCGTTCTCCCCACTGATCTGTGGCTCGAGGAGGATCACAAAATCCAGCCGATGCTGCTGAAGCGCCAGTCTCAAAGCTCGGGCGAAGGGTTTGCTACCTACACCACCCACATTCCAAACAAAAATTTTGATGTTCTGGTTGTAAGACATAGACATAGATAAGCGAAAAAGAAAGGAAGAAGGGAGAGAAAAGAGAAAGGGAAACACTAGGTGTGCGGAACTGAGGAGGTCGTCTCCTCGTCCTGGCCAGGCGCTATCTCTTTAAGCTTATCCGCAGCTGCCCACTCGGCGGGTCTCTGAGCTTTTGCCTCTGTCCAAGCGGTGATCTCTTGAAGGGTAAGCGGGGCAACGCGGGACTTTGATTTTGATCTCTTGTCCTTCATGGGCGACCATATTTGCAGCTGCTTGAGAGGGTTGAATTTGGTCGGTGAAGTTTTCTTCACGCGCTCCTTCCCGGATTTGGATTTCTTCGGTCTTGCTCGCGTTGAAGGAGTAATTGCCACTATGGAGTCCCGACTCTTCTGCTCAGGCGATCGAACTTCCACAATCTGCATTGTGGTCCCATTTGGGCCGCTAATCACATGGACGGGCTGGGGAATTTAGCTGGTGGCCGAGGCTGGCATTGGGACTGAGGATCTAACAGTCTCCCTACTCTTTAATGGGCCAGACTTAGAGGGTCCTGGGGGGCTAGTGGGGTTGGTTGACGACGAGGCTATATTGGAGGCTTTCGTGGGCTTAACACCAAGGCCCGCCATGTTTTGATTATTCGGCCCTGGCCCAAGGAGGCCCTTGTCCGTCCCGGCAGGAATAAGAGTCGCCTTCTCTTTACCTTTCCTCACCTCTTCCCCACTTTTCTTCCCGTTGCCTCCTTTCCCTTCTTGGGGCTTCAAAATAGGGGATGACTTGCCGCTATTAACCTGATGGTCGGTCTCCTTTGATATCACCCCTTCCTTTCCTTTTTTGATCGCAGGTGTAGGAATCCCCCACCATTTCCCAGATTCGACTTTCCCTTACCAGTACCCAAACGAGGATCACGTATGCTTTTCCGGCTGACCAGCATCCATGGTCCGAAGCCTGGGTGTTCCTCTGGATCCGTCGCCGGCGTGCTAGCCGCCGCCCCTTCTGACGCCCAACCGATTGCTGGAGCAATCAGAGGAAGCAATTGTGGACACTCTGTCGACATATGCCCGATTTTGCCGCATTCAAAGCACACCGTCGGAAGGTTTTCATATTCCACCTTCTGCCATTCTTCATCTAACCATATTCTCGGAACAAGATGTTTTCCCAAATCAACTTCTACCGCCAATCGGGCAAACTTAGCACGTTGTCGGTTTAAAGTATGAAAGTCCAACTTAATCGTGCGACCAATCAAGTTGTCGAGGGTGATCAAGACCTCCTTGTGATAAAAATGGACTTTTAGAGCCGGCAATTGAACCCAAACAATCATCTTCTTTGGCAGCGGATCTGACACCTTGCACTTGGGGGTCCATTGTTGGACCACAAGGTAGTGATCAAAGATCACCCAAGGTCCGTCAGTCAGCGCGCGGAAGTAAGCCTGCTTATTGTCGAGTTTGACCAGGAAGCAATCGAAATCTAGATCCATGACTTCCATGGAGCCAACTGGCCGCCAAAGAGAGCCTAACCGTGAGCAAAGAGTGGAAAATCCAATCTTGCAGCCAAGAAGCTGTAACGATTAGGAGTGAATGGTAAAATGTATAAGTTTGGGGACTGCTTTGTAATTGAGCAAGTCATATAAATAGGTAAGCTGTGTACTAAACTGGTTATCGAATAAGAATTTACCAGAACTGTTTCCCTACTTCTTCCCTTCCTCTGCTCTGTCTCTGTTCTTCCCCTTCTTCTAATCTTCTTCTTCAATTCTCACTTCTCTTCTCAAACCCCTCTGCTCATCTCTTCAATTTCCAATTGTTGATACTCAATCGCCAAGACTTGATCCAGTATCACTCCAGGAATTCTTAGTATGCCATGGTGAATTCAACAAGTTGCGGCAAAGAGGCTCATTGTTGGAATACCAGGAAAAGTTTGAAGAACTAAGATCTCGGGTGGTTAGATTTAATTGTATCCTGGATGAAGAGTATTTCATTTCGAGGTTTATTAGCGGGCTGAAAGGAGACTTGAAGTGGGTGGTTCAGATGTTGCCATTGACGCCAGCAGCAGGAAGAATCATTTGAGGAGTGTAGATGGAGATGTATTGACTTCCCCTGTTAGCACGAGAGAACAGGCTTTGGATACTCCTGATAAAGCAGCATCGGGTATGACAAGTGCAGATGTTTTTGGTGATTGTTTAGCTGTAACAAAAATGGGGAAAGACGATGAGTATGATGAGCATAAGGACACAACTCCGTACCTTGCAGTCTTGGACACAATGGGAATTGACATAACAACTGAAGCGTCTCCCAGTAGCATGGAATCAGAATCGAACCTGAAAAGGTCTAACTTGGCAAAAAAAGAACTCAAGGCTGAAGGTGAGGTACTGATGGCAAAAGCTCATATATTAGCTATAAATGTGGTTCAGAAACCAAAGTTCAAGTTACTGAATATAAATGGCAGTTTCACTATGCAGTCAATCTCTCATTCGGCTGGCAATGCTAAGGCTATTGCTGGGCAAACCATTGATTTCATTTTTTGTCCAAGTGATGTTGATTTTAGGACTCTAGATGTCGTTGTGAACTACTGCAACTCCAATAAGAGGTATGGTTTCGTGCCTGAATCAGTGGGTTGCAGGGAAAAACTAAAGCATGGCAGCTGGAATTATGAGTATCGGGTTTATCCCACTTATTATGGTGTTTGGGTAATTTCTGGTGGCAGGGGTAGTAGTTCTGATATCAAAGAACCATATAAAGATGATGCTCCAGGGGTCAGTGTTGGCATGGAGCTGTTTGATCCGGATTTTCAACATGGCTGGAAATTTAATTGCTATCATGAACCTATGTCGATTGTTGGTGCTGCATATGCATTGTGTGGAATGCATTTTTGCAATGATATTGTTGGTGTTCAAGGTCATGGCAGGGGTCCAACTCCCAACTTTAAGGAGCCTTATAAAGAGTGCTGGTTGGTTGTAGTTCTAACTGTTGTCGAGGTGAAACTCTATGGTATTGCACTTACGGTTACTTGACGGTTCAAGGGCTGTAAGGGACTGGAGATGATTGTGGTGATGCTTAAGAGCTTGGTGGTGTGGTGTACTGCTGCACTTTTGTTAATTCTCCTGGGTTGCATAAGCTGCATTTGCTTGTGGTTTCCATTCTTGAGGAGTTCGACAGTAATGGTGCTTGTTGTAAGAGATGAATAACTACTATATTGGTAAAGCAGTGGTGTAGAGTCCATTCTGCTGGGTGCTCATTATCACTTCTTTGAGCTACAAGATGGCGCAACTCCAGTCTACAGTCGATGTTTTCTTCTGCCACAGGTGGCAACCTATCTTCTATAATAGTTTTTCAACTCGGTTACTTGCTGTTCGCATTGCTTTGGTTTATGTTGTCTCCTTTTGTTCTCTAGCCTTGAGGACAAGGCTGTTTTCAAGGGGTCGGGATTGTAACGATTAGGAGTGAATGGTAAAATGTATAAGTTTGGGGACAGCTTTGTAATTGAGCAAGTCATATAAATAGGTAAGCTGTGTACTGAACTGGTTATCGAATAAGAATTTACCAGAACTGTTTCCCTACTTCTTCCCTTCCCTTCCTCTGCTCTGTCTCTGTTCTTCCCCTTCTTCTAATCTTCTTCTTCAATTCTCACTTCTCTTCTCAAACCCCTCTACTCATCTCTTCAATTTCCAATTGTTGATACTCAATCGCCAAGACTTGATCCAGTATTACTCCGGGACGCTACAGAAGTCTTACGACGAGAGCTCTTTGCCATAGTTCGATTTCATTCTCTTTTATAAATTTACGAGAGTAATTAAGTAATATTTTGCCGAAGATTGCTAATGTAATTTTCTTTTCTTTGTTACGACTTTTGTGATAACTCGTTACCGGTCATCCAACATACTCCGTCGAAGGAAACTACACTCGCTGGCGGGACTATCTTGGAGATGTTGTGTTTTTGTTTTTCCCGTCAGTGTCGTGTCTTTGCTCCTCGGAGCTTCTTCAGAGCTGCCCAAGTAGTGGCTTAACCGGCTCTTTCATCGGTAGTCTGGTTGCATACGGACTAACGTCCAGTATTTGAGTTGGTCTTGTAATCGTGTCGAGTCTTTGTCCCATGCCCTTTGGGCTTGCCTTGGATTAAAACCGTATGATCCTAACTAATATTAATCAATAAGATAAAGTATAATATTTTCCAAATCATTAGTTTGTAACTCTGATACATCTACTATGTAATACTTGACTAACATAATTATCTTGTTAACAAGAGGGAAAATTGAAAGAATGAAGGGAGAATTGATGTAAAGGAATTAGATTTGGATTTGGGTGGCCACTCAATTGCATTTCAACTTTATATTGCCTTAAGTTACCTTCACTATCTTATATCTTCTTTGAAGCGGGTTTAAAAGACCATTATTTAGTATTTAGTTTTCACTATTATTTAGATGTATTACCCTAATGCTAAAGAGTGCTTGCGCAAATATGAGTAGATGGTTAGGAACACCAAGATACACAAAGGATTAGTAAGAGAGAATTTCTAAATTATCAAAAAAAATTCTGCATAAAAGAATATTTATTGGGCCTTTAAATTGGTAGAAATGATCGAGCAGTACTCCCCATGATTCCGATTCAGAGTATGCTCCCACCCACCGATTAAAGAAATAACTATCATGAACGAAATAATCCTTTTTTTTCAGAAAGAAGAATAGGAAGGAAAAAATATATTTTTTTCTTCTTCCCTATATCTTATATCTTCTTTGTTAGCTTAGCTTATGAGGCTAAAACCATACTCACACCATACCCATCATTGTTATTACAATCACTCATGTTTACTCTCTTTCATATGATAATTTTTATATGTTTTTATACTAATAGAATACACTTACTTCTCAAAACAGTTGCACCGTTTACCTTTTCATTGCAAAGGACAGTTTTTTCCCAGCACTCACAACCTACAAAAATAGGAGGTGTCAATTTGAGAGAGGTGCAAGTTGAAATCAAAATTATAGGTGTGTGAGTGAATGACATAACTATTTTTTGAAATGAAAAGTAAGATGTTCAAACATATATAGTAAGAAGTAAGTGTATTATATGTTTATGAAAAAATGCATCAAATTAACATAAATTATTCTCATACATAAATTATTATTAATATTTCAATATTAATAAACATGCTAAAATACAAATTATTATATAAAAAATAATACTCAGATAGTAATTACTAATATTATTAATGAGCTGACATGTGGGCAGTGACCAACCTAGAATAGTTTAAGAAACCAAATTTGCAGTGACCAACCTAGAATGGTTTAAGAAACCAAATTTGCCCCTTGACGAAGAATAGGAGCATTTGCTTGATTTCTTTCTCTTCTCTATTGCTACTATCATCATATGGTATCACTCATGAAAGCTAACTAGCAACATGGTTTGGATGAAATTTCCACTCCACAAGTATTGTTCAAATATGTTGCCATGACCAGATAAGGGGTTTGATGGTTATTTTTTCTCGCTTGTAAACCCCCTCCCTCTTTTACATTTTACTTTCTTCTCTTTTAAATATTTTTCTTTTCCTTCTTCTACAATTATTTCCTCGTTTTGTGATGGTTTTTATTAGGATTTAAACTCTCTTTCTCTATTATATTTGTTTTAAAAGCTTATTTCACAAACTGTTGGGCCGTGGGGGATCACCGCCTAAATCAAGGCCCACATAGCAAGAGGCGGCCCAAAAGGGAAAAGGCCCAGTGGAGGCTGAAACGCGAGACGGGCCGGCCCAGTGGACGATGGGCCGGGCGCAGGCGTGGACGCCTAAAGACGGCGGGCGTGCGGGCCTGCACGACTGATGGAGCGGCATTTGGGACAATCATACCGTCACTGACACCACATTAAATGCCGCCGTAAGCGTACCTCGTAAAGGGATACTAGGCATATGACTGACAAGACACCAAGTGCTTACACCAACTACTATAGACTATAAATAAGAGTCAACCACCTCATTTAATGGTAACTAATTCTACTCTCTCTCTACCTTACTTTCTCTCTCTAAACACTGACTAGATCGTTGGAGAGTGTTCGCGAGCCACGCCCCGGACCTTTTTTGCAGTGAACGGAGCACCCCCATATCAAGGAACAACGGTATTCTCCAAGGCTTTCACAAATCCGCCTGGCACTTTCTAGGCGTAAACAATTTGGCGCCCACCGTGGGGCTGAAAGAGAGTATCGTTCTCCTTGAAGTTGTCAGGTGACTCCATCAGCCCCATGAAAGAGGTCGTCGAGCCGATAACGCTGCGTGGTTTATCACCCGAGGTCGAAGAAGAAGTGGAGCTCGAGGAAAGGGTGAAGAGTCAGGGGGAGCAGATCACGTAGATGCGGAGTAGTATCACCCAAATACTCTCATTAATGAAGGAGGGGATGAGGCGCCAGGAGACCCTAGGCCCATCCTCCACACCAAGGGATAAGGGAAAGAAGAAAGTGGTGGAAGTCGATTCGGAAGACGAGGAAACAGAGGACGAAAGGCCGAAAACTGACTTGAGTTTCCTAGAAGAGCACCTACAATCCAACTTTGGGAAAGGGAGCGGGAAGACAAAGGGGCCAAGCATCCTACACAATCCCCTTTCAAAGAAATTGTTCCGGAACCCGGTCCCTCCAAACTTTTCGTCGTTGGGTCTTCCGGCATATAACGGGGACACGAATCCAAACGACCATCTAAGCGCCTTCACATTGAAGATGCAACTGATAAACGCCTCCGACGCAGATCTCTGCAAAGCCTTCCCCATAACCTTTGGAGGGCGGTGCCGCACGTGGTACACATCTCTCCCCGAGGGGATCATAGACAATTTTGAGCAGCTTGCAACTCTGTTCACATAGAAGTTCGCTTCCCAGATCCGCAAACGTCTCACCGTCACCGCACTGATAAATTGCACACAGGGTCAAGGGGAGAGCTTGATGGACTTCTACGACCGATGGAACACCATCGCTTGTGAAATACAGGGCGTTACGCCGAACGTGGCCGCGGGAAGCCTGAGGATGGCCTCCAAAAGCAAAGAGCTCCAAAGAGCGTTAATCAAGAAGGAGCAAGACATCAAAACTTGGCCAGACCTAGACAACCTAGTGCGGAGAGTGATTACACTGGAAGAAGCGTTGGTGTCAGCCATTCGGGGAGGAAGAAGGGAGACGAAAAAGGGAAACAAATCCCCATTCCGGAGAGGGCGGTCCCCGAAACGACACAACTATAAGGGGAAAGCGCGAGCGGGAGTGACTCGCTACGACACAACACCTAACAATGGCCAAGTGTAACCAATGGAAGGGACTGCAGTATAGTGGCTCAAGTGATAAATATCGAATCCACGGGTCTCTAGAGTTACTATTACTCAGCTTCAGTTTATTATTTAGCAAACCAGATTAAGATGAAAGAACTAAAACTACTCTAGCAAACTACAGTTAAAGTAAATCTAATTACATGTTGGGAACTAACTTAGGTATGATTCCCCCTAGCCACTAGCCAGACTAACGATTGATGATTTCTAACTTGTTTCACTTTCATTCACAATGCGGAGAATCCTTGACTAGACCTTGAGTCTCGACTAAAGGAACAAGGCCCTCTTGAGTCAATTGCCTAGAGGGACGTATCCTTCTCTAGAACAACTGATCAAGGCGTTCTGAACTAGACTCCCTCTATCGAAAGAGGTTCTCAATCGATACAAAGCAGTGAATCAAACCTCGACTAAAGCAATCGATCCACTACTATCAATCTATGGTGCTCTATTGACCTAATCAGGTATTCGCTCTCATAGGATCAAAGCAGAATCAATAATCTCGACTAAAGCAGAATTGAATCATGAAAACATGCATAGATTGAATATGAACTCAAGATTATCAAGTCAGAGTACTCATACAATCATCCAATCAAACAAACATAGCTAGGGTTCCTCAAAACCTAAGTGAAGGGAAGTTACTCCATAGAGAAGAGAGAGACTGCAGTAAGAATCTTCAGATGATCAGTCTTCAAGTCCGGGCTTGTTCCTCGAGCTTCCAAGGCGAAGAAAGCCTCCAATTACACTCTTAGAATGCCCTCAAATCGCCCTCTCTCTCTTTGGTTCGTCCCTTGGGTGTTTTGGATCCAAAACCCAGCTCTCCTCCTCCTTTGGCTCGAATTTGGGCTAAAAAACCCGATTCTGGGCAAAACACGGTCGAGGGCACGGCCGTGCTTTGGTTTTGCCCGCCCGTGCTTTGCCCCGTGTTAAAAACACGCCCGCGCGCGTCGGCCAAAACACGGTCGTGCCTAAATATTGGCACGGCCGTGTTTTGATTTAGGCGCGCCCGTGTTTTTACTGCCAAACCTGTTCCCCTATATTCAATGCTTCGTTTCTCCCTCGTCCGGACTTCGAATCAGTCGCCGTTTGATCCCAGACGCTCGTAGTCTCATCCTCTTTCTTTTAATGACAAGCTTGAATGATTCTTTGTCCATAAATGGAGGTAGAAATCCATTCTTCTTCAGGTCATGCCCGAGTTGCTTCTCCCGAATCGCCAATTGATCTCTGATTGACTTGAAACTTGCGCCTATGCTTCACTTTATGTGCTAGGACCTGAAATGTGACAAAGGAACAAAAATTAGCGTAAAATAGGCCAAAGACGCGATAATTAAAGCTCAAACGATCAAGAAACAAAGGGGAAAACATGTGCTAATATCGAGTCATCAAATCCCCCCACACTTAACCGTTTGCTTGTCCCCAAGCAAACCTGACTCAAACCAATGCAAATCTCCAGACCTCTATATCAACATACAACCTCGATCATCGGTAGAGGATTTCCTAGATCATATAGCAGCTTACGAGGTCAACTGGTCTTCTAAGACGTTCCCTATCTCGCTCAGTGCGAGTATTAGACTCAAGCCAGGATCATGAGAAGAAGTAGAAGTAAGACAGTCAGTTCATGGATAAAGGGACTCACACCATGCACAACCAAGGACTCGTTGTACCAGGGTTCTCTTTCACTTCATTTTACCGTAGGAAACCCTTTTTCACTTTTATTTTACTTTTTTCTTTTTCATTCACTTGGTGGGGGTTCCAACTGTAGTCTTTTGCACGGTCGACCCTTATTAGTCGAGCAAGAGCAATTTCTGTACATCTGGCGCTTGCCAGAGTAATTCTTTTAACTCCTTTTCCTCAACTCGTGTGGAGGGTCAATGAAATTAAGGGGGGTCGGAAGCTCTATCCGTGCTCTTAAAAACACATTCTCAAGTAGGCAAACCGTTCAACGGGTGGAATTTTTACTTGCACTAGAGACAGCTTAGCTTCACCTTGTAGGAGTACCCCACTAAGGATCACTAAAATCTCTTCCAAAACCCGATTTGGTGCAATGAACGGTGCCGCACACGTTGGGCTTACCCCATGTTTAAGATTTTATGATTTTGACATGGAGGACTAACTGCTTTTCATTTTTCACATGAGCACCCTGTTCGATACACGAATCCATAACACAATCCAAACAGAGTCACCATTACCACATGAATTCAACGGTCTTAGCTCCACTAATTCACAAAATCAACTGGCACAGCAGAGAGCTAGACATGAAAAATCTTATACTTCAACATCCTCCATAGTGCTACACTACCTCCCTAGGTTGCACATTAATATAGAGACTGTCAATTCAAAGCATACTGAGCAGGCAATTTGCAAGGAAACACGTACTTGGAGCCCTCAAATTAAAAAATTTGGACAGTGGACTAGGCTCCAAGCACACAAACAGCCAAACATTCACCCCAATACATAATCGAACACCCCCCCCCACACTTAAGCACGACATTGTCCTCAATGGAGGAAAGATAAGGAGGGTAGAACGAAGTTACCAGATTCAGGGTGAATGATGGTGGACGGGGATGGCGGTGTATTCCAGGAGGAGAGAGTGGTCAGACCACAAACACCACACAAAATCTCACAAAGGTTGAGTTATTGACTCTAAAATCAAATAACAAAACTGACTCAACCGAGGAGAAATAGGGAAAGAAATGCAAACCGACTAGTTGGGTTGCCTCCCAACAAGCGCTTCTTTCACGTCGTGAGCCGGACAATGGTTCCTAAGTTTTGGTCCACCCCAAAACCTCCTTGAAGTTGAGGTTCTCGTCAATGAGGTGGAGTCTCAAGTCACGAGCATGTGGTATGACAGGTGATGGAAGCTCGTGCACTTGATGCGGATGAAGTCTCCACCCTCGAGACCTCTTCTTCTCTTCTCTCGTCTCATTGCCTCAAACCAGATATGACAGCATCGATTGACCACCATCGCGTCCACCAAGAGGGACCGATGTCGACGTGACCTTGGTATGGCAAAGAGACACTGCAAATGGATCCTTGCTAAGTAGTTCCTCGAAGTTTGGTGGAGATATCAAATGTAACTCATGGTCGGTGCAAGCCTCTTCCACCTCAAATTCGTCCTCGGCTTGGACGTCAATTGCTTCTGCAACCTCCCTTTATTCTTCATGTGGTATCACCCCTGGGAAATGATCAAGAACTCCTCCTGCTTCATTTTCGTCATCCTCCACAACTTCTTTCTGCACCCTTTCTTGCTCTTCTTCTTCTAGCACGGATTGGAGAGCAAGTTGCCAAGCAATTTCTTTCATGAGATCTTCTTGCATCTCCTCACTCATGCCTGCCTCTTCAAAGCTCAGTTTGGGATGTGGGAAGGTGTGGTCGGCTACGACAGGTGACACGCCAAAACACAACACCAAACTGCGACCAAGTGTAATCGCAGTCCGGGAATACAGTAACAGGCAAGTTCTATTATCAACCCGGGGTCTAGATCTACTGCTTACTCCGTGATTATTTATTATCTAACCAACTAAGTCGTGTGATTTGTGTTTAAACTAAAAGCAGCAAGAAAGCAGGAAATTATTCGGTTTTCTCAAGCAGGAAAGAGTCACTCGAGAATGAGTTCCCCTAGCTCCTTAGTTAGGTTCAATTGCAATTACCCTGGGTTGATTTACTGTTGATTAGACTGCGGAAGATCCGACAGTAGCTTGGAATCTCTTAAGCTGACCAAGCCCTCTCAGTCTAACTACCCGGCAGACGACTAGTCTTCACCGGGATAGAAAGCTGAAGCAGTAAGAACAGAACTCCACTACTGGAATTGGATTCCAGTACAAAGCAGTAAACTGGCTAACTCTAGCAACCTAATCAGATTCTATCTATCTCAGATTGCAGCAGGAATCAGGAAAAGTTGATCAGACTTCAATTGACTCAATAAACATGCATCATTCGATTAAAATTAAACAGTAATATCATCCCAAGTCATTACAATCAATCCCTAACACATAGAACTAGGGTTCTTCATCCCCAAGTGAGAGAGAGGTTCTACTCCATAGAGGGAGAGAAGAAAACAGTAATCGGAGTAGTCATACGCATAAAGACGAGGAAAATCTGCTCCGGGATGATGATTTCCACTCCTAGGACGATCTCCAAGCTCGATTCGATGAAACCCAGCTCCAAGATGGCTTCTAGGATGTGTTCTTCGTCCTTTCTCTCTCTAGGGCTCTATTTTTTCTCAAAAAGTCCGATCCTCCCTCTTTTGGCTCGAAATTGGCTGAAAAACCAAGATTTCCCGACTCACACGGGCAGGCCACACGGCCGTGTGGCTCACCCAGTTGCCCATGTGAGTCAAAACGCGGCGTATCAATTAGTTCGAACTTCAGGCTTCCCACACGGCCAGGGTCGCACGGCCGTGTGGGATTTCCATCCTGCCCATGTTTGCTCTCGGCGAAACTCGCACGGCCACCTTGCTCCTCCACACGGCCGTGTGGAAATTACTTGTGCCCGTGTGGCTTCCTCATTGGCTTGCCTCGCGCCCGATCTTCATCCAATCGACCCCAAACTCGCTCCCAAACCTCCATTCACGTACTAGGACCTGAAATATCACAAACAAGCACAACCTAGCGTGAAATCGGCCTAAAACACGAGAAATCACATCTCAAACGGTGTAAGAACAGGGGTAAAAACATGTGTAATTAACGGTCTATCAAACTCCCCCATACTTAACCGTTTGCTTGTCCCCAAGCAACCAAGTCAGACACAAGGTAAGCTTACATATTTC